CCCCCCCCAATATTTCTCTCTTTTAATGTGTTCATCATACAGATGATTTAAACTAAAGTTTTAGATTTACCTGCACTTCCAATGTGTGCTGCTTTGTTCTGTGTAGGAAGCCCTCTGTGTCCTAAGCTAGTGTGCTTTAAGTAGACATAAACAAGTTTTTAAAGTATTTAAATACATCATAAATACTTTTTTTATTTTGTAGAGACAGAGTTTCACTGTCACCCAGGCTAGAGTGTTATGTCATCACAGCTCACAGCAACCTCAAACTTCTGGGCTCAAGTGATCCTCCCAAGTAGCTGGGACAGCTGCCCCCTACCACCCCCAGCTAATTTTCACAATTTTTTAGAGACTTACTTTAATAGGATCTTGCAATGTTGCCCAGACTCGTCTTAAACTCCTGGCTTCAGGCCATCCTCCTGCCATGGTCTCCCAAAATGCTGGCATTGCGGACATGAACCACTGTGCCCAGTCTGTGTGTTCTTTTAATGGTTTTGCTGTGTACATTTGGGTCTGTAAGTCCATGTGGACCTTACTTTGGGGATTCTTTTGTTGAGTCTGGTGCATTTTTCCCTGGTAGGAATAGCTGTCTGCTGATGGCCAAGCCATAGCCACTCCTTCACCTATCTCTGGGGACTTCCCAGCCCTGTGGCCTCTAGCTTGCTGTTTGTTGCTGGCCACTTCCTTTCCCTACCTGGAGTTCTCACACAGCTGTGTTTTCAAATGAATTTTGAAATGAACTTGTCAGGTTTTTACATCGTCACACAGGGTTTTGATCTGCATTTTACTGATTTTGTGGACCGTGTTAGGGGACACTGGGCCACTAATTATTGGTCATGGCCACAGCAGGTACATCTCAGCCAGGTAGGTGCAGGGTTTCTTCCCCAAGGAGAGGGCAGTATAGTGACCCGCAGAGAACCATCCTTTGGCTGCTGGCTACACACAGCGCCTTCTTCCACACCAGTGCTGCTGTGCATTCCTGGGGATCAGTCCTTTCCACCACTCACAGGTCCTGACTTCCATCCACTTCCAGTGAGGCCTCAGCTCTGCATGACATGTGTGCTTGTGTGTCTGTGTGTGCACGCCTCGTGGGATACCACCTGCATAGTGACAGCCTCTGTGGCTTTTCTGGGACATGAGTTCTGGTTCAGGCTGAACACTTCCTATGGTCACTGGTGCTCTTTCTCTTTCCAGTTATGCCAAAGGCGACCTGGACATATCCTACATCACATCCAGGATCGCTGGTACGTCCACCAGGTTAGGCCACAGGGACACATTCTGTCCCTTCCCCATGTGAGGGCTGCTGGTGGCCCTTTGGCCTCTGGCATGTGGCCCCACTGCGTGCCCGTCCACTGGGAGCTGGGCAGGGTGGCCACAGGGACAGCAGAGATGCCTCTTCTGCTAACCAGGCGGCCACAGCCTGTGTGAGATGTGGCCCAAGTGCTGTCCCAGGCAGGTGGCTCATGTCAGCCCAGCTTCCCCTGGTCTGGCACTTTCTGGAGCTCTGAGCTTGCCAGGTTGTGCACATGTACCTATGTCTCCTGCCAAAGTTCAGGAGAACTCAGTCTGAGACCACTTTTCCCATGAAAGGCCCTCTCCAAAGTCTTGTAGCCAGCTTCAAGTATATGGGTGGGTCTGTGCTTCTCAGTCAGCCCAGCCTGGTGTCCAGCAGGGTGGGGAGAGCCTGGGAATGGCCAGCTGCCTAGGTAGTGGCTGATGAAGCTGCCCAGTTGGGTTCTAGGAGGGCAGCCCAGCTGTGAGGCTAGCACAGCCTTCCAGGGACAGTAGTTACCCCACAGGGGCTGATAGGCCTGTTCTGTTCCAGTGATGTCGTTCCCAGCAGAGGGCGTGGAGTCGGCGATCAAAAACAATATAGAAGATGTTCGGGTATTTCTGGACTCCAGGCACCCGGGGCGCTATGCTGTCTATAACTTGTCGGCACGGAGCTACCGGCCCTCTAAGTTTCACAGCCGAGTGAGTGGCCCCAGGTTTTGTCTGGGTGTTGGTGACTGTTGTCACATGTTAGGGCAGGTTTTGGGACCCATCCTCCACTCAATTGCACTTTGGGCCTTGCCTGGCAAGACAGCATGTTGGGGTGGGCTAGGACAGGCTAGGTGTGTTCTGAGGGTAGGACCCATTCTGTCCATTAAAGGTGGTATTTGGCTGGGCGTAGGGGTGCCCTATAGTCTCAGCAACTTGGGAGACCGAGGAGGGAGAATCCCTTGAGCCTAGGAGTTCAAGGCCAGGTTGGGCAATGTAGCAAGACTCTGTTCCTAAAAAAAAAATAATACACTCTTTGACAAATGCAAGGTGTCCCTACATGCCCACTGCTTTTCACCCTCTAGAGGGAAGTGAAGTCATAGTTTTCCTGGTAGAACAGTTCAGTCACACATACTTTTTGTGCTGTTTAAACTGACCCAAGACATAGGAAGGGGTAGACTAAGTTCCTCCAAAAGCAGCACAGATAAGCTGCAAGGAGGAGGCATGGCCAGGGCCTCAGACGCTGAGCCATACTGTCTGCCCCTCCTGTGCACAGAGGCCAAGGAGGAAGATGGGGGAGCTCCCCACAGTTGGCGCAGCACCCTGCTGAACCCATCCCTCTCCCCACAGGTGTCTGAGTGCGGCTGGGTGGCCCGGCGGGCACCCAGCCTGCACAGCCTGTATGACGTCTGCAGGAACATGCATGCCTGGCTCCGGCAGGACCACAGGAATGTCTGTGTCGTGCACTGCGTGGTGAGCCCAGGCCACTGAATTTCATAATGTCATGTATTTGTTCTCTAAAACCTGAGCCCCAGTTATTTTTGTCCTTAGAAATATGACAGAAGAGAAAATGTAGCCAGAGAGAAGTCCTTGCCTGCATGGAGCTCGGGCTGTGGTGGTTCCCTACCCTCCTGGTGGAGTGTGCCTATCCACTATGGTCCTCCTGGGCCCTGCCTGGCCTGGGCCTGCATAGTCCAGCATTGATGCCACCCTCTTCTCCTGGCTGCCCTTGTCTGCAGAGTGTAGGTTAGAGGTTCATGAGCCTCACAGATAGCACCTACCCAGAAAACACACTTGGTGCTTAGCTGCCCTGTGGTGTTGGTGTTGGTGGGTCACAGTAGTAGTGATGATGACAGGGATCTCACAGGGTTGTGGTGTGGCCCACATGTTCCCCATTCAGGAACCTGTGTTCTGTGCTGGCCTCTGAGTCCTCATCTCACCAGGCTGCCTGTGAGTCCCTAACCATGTCCCCAGGTCAGAGAGGCTGGGCTTTAAATCAGGAGTCCTTGTCCCACTCTGTACAAGTGCCGACGCTAATCTGTTTCCTTTGTCTTAGGACGGGAGAGCCGCCTCGGCTGTGGCTGTCTGCTCCTTCCTGTGCTTCTGCCGGCTCTTTAGCACTGCGGAAGCCGCTGTGTATATGTTCAGTATGAAGCGCTGCCCACCAGGCATTTGGCCATCCCACAAAAGGTACTGTGTGTTGCTCTCAGGACGTGACACCCCCCACACTACATTGGGTACAGTATCCCCACAGCTGGGGACTCCGGGCCTGGTGCCAACAGACACAGGCCTCTTGCAGTGCAGGTTCATGACCCAGTGACGACATGTTGCTGTAGGCACCTGTGGGTCTCCTGCCATGGCAGCCCCCTCCACTGTGGCAGCCCCCTGGGCTACTTATGGGCTATGCCTTGCCTGGTGCCTGAAAACAGACTTCCTTGCAAGCACCTGCTGCCCTTTGCCCCATGGGAGCCACTTGGGGTTGGTGGGAGACACCTGGGCTTGGTAGGCGCCACGAGCACTCTTGCCTGTATACCGTGCGAGTGTAAGTACAGTCCTTGTCCTGTGAGGCACTCAGTGTCCCGGCTGCTTGTACCAGCTCAGACTGGGCTTTCTCCTCTACAGTTTAAAGGAAGCAGCTCGTGGCTTCGGCACCTCTGTCCCCAGAGGGACCACTTCCCTCAGCAACCAGAGAGGTGTTGTGTGCCCACACTGCCCATTCCGTCTGTCCCCTATAGAGAGAGACTTTTGGGCATCCACCACAAGCCATGCCCTGGGCTCAGTCTTAACGAGGACTTGGAGTGGGGCCCCAGGGATGAGGCCCCAGGAGAGGGTGGTGTGCAGGTTTAGGTACAAGCACTGACACTACCCCTTTACCCTGCCCTGGCAGAAAGGGGAGCCTAAGCCTGCTGAGTAGGAGGTGCCCTACTGACCACCAGGGGCCAGTGGGTGTTATATGGAGGACACCAGTGTGGCCATCAGCCTGTCCAATTGTATCTTCTGTGTGGTCCTAGCAAAGGATGCTTTGCACATGTTGAGCCAAAAGCCATGTGTGCCCCCATGTTGCACTGTACCTCCATATCATGCACATGCCTGTGTCGCATGCACACTCCCTTGGGACCCTACTCAGCAGCCGGGTCTAAGAGCCAAGGAGTCTCGTTGCCCATCGTGTGTCTAGGCTTCTCCCCGGAGCTCCGAGAGTCTTGCAGAGCAGTGCTCCTGAAAATGGGCCCAGCCTCCTTGGATTTGGGACTTTACCCTGCTGGAGAGTTGAGGCCACAGGGCCACCAGTTGACTCCAGATCTGAGGTCACTAGCGCCTCTTGGGGAGAGGGGGTGGCACGTGTCTTAGCCTCTGCCCCCAGGGCCCTCTTCCCACCATCTCCACTGAGCAGAGGATGAAGCATAGGCTCCTGGAGCTGCCCTCCACTTCCCATGGGCACAGACGTGGTGAAGCAGCACAATGGGACTCTGACAGGGAAATGGGAAAATGTCACCGGCACGGAAAACCCTCATGAGGAAGTGAGCACAGCATGGATCAGGTGTGAAGGATCCCATGGAAAGGCCAGAACTGGGGCATGCAGCAACGTGCACCCATCAGAGGATGTGGAGGCAAGTAGTAGGCATCCCTCAGGCTGAAAGACCCCTTGGACAGTCCAACAAACACATAATTGGAATCCCAGAATAGAGAAATAATGGCTGAGAAATTTCCCAGATACCAATCCATAAACTCAAGTTGCTAAGAAGACACCATGGGCTGAAAACAGAAGAAACACGTCAACTCCTGCCTGGCACATCACACTAGGCCACGCTGCTGCAGACTGAACACAAAGTCTTGACGGTCACCAGACACAGAAGATGGGTCTGTGGAGGGGGGCGCAACAAACCCCAGACAGCCAGTTGGAATTCTTTTAGGTGCTATAATTAATAAGCAATAGGAAGAAACAAAGTGAAAATGTAAAATATGCTTCATCTCGGAGACAACAATAAAAGAAGAAAAGAGAAACTAAGAACAGATGGAACAAATAGAAAACAGCAAGGCGGTGGGCTTCAGTCCCACCATGTTAGCTGTTCACATACTACTAGGGCCCTGCTTTAGGGGCCTTGTAGACCGTGAGCTTCCTTGGGTGCCCTCCTGTTTAGAATTTAGGGCGGGGCAGGATAGCCTGAGAAGATGAAGGGGAGGGACTGTCACAGTGGATGGAAAGCAGGGCCTAGCCATACTGTCTGCCAGGATCCCCCTTTAACCATGACAGTGGATATGGGCCAAGAATGAAACCATGGAAGGTTGTGGCAGCTGCCAGCACGCCCCACATTCAGGTGTTCCCGTGGGTCAGGACTGGGTCCTCTCCTCTTGGTCAGGTGCTGGCTGAGCTCATCTCAGAAACCCCATTCCTTCTGTGTTTTGGACTCTGCTTCCAAGCTCAGGTTGTTGTCAGGATTCATGTACTTGGGGTTGAATGACTGACTGTCCGGGCTTCCTACTGACCACCAGCTGGAAACATAGTCCAGAGGCTGCCCACAGGTTCCTGTTGCTGGGCCATCGAGGAGCGTCGAGAGCAAGCCTGCTAGGAAGACAAGTCTCACCACAGATGCAGTGTCTTCACCTCTTGTTAGTCAGAAGCAAGTTGCTGCCTAGGGAGTGCAGACACCCTGGAGCTGTGCACAGACAGAGGTGTGCGTGGAGACATGGGCTGTGAGAAAGAACATGTTCAAAGTTTACAAAGTAGCCAACTGAAAGAATGAACAGAGAAAACAGTTCATGTTTATACAGGTTGTCTCAAAAGTCTGAAGTTACCATAGATAGGAAAATGGGAAATTATAGTTAAATGTATCTTTATAAAAGTATTCATTATAAAATTTTACAAAGAGGTGGCCAACAGGCACAGAATATTTTGTAAAATTTTATAATGAATATTTTATAAATAAAGATACATTTAACAACTATAACTTCCCATTTTCTCTGTGTACTGTGGTGACTAAAGGGGTGACTTTTGGGACACCCTGTGGTGCAGGTGTCAGCATTCCCCTCTTGGTAGAACAGGTAGGTAGAAGGTCATGAGAGTGGGGAAGCATCAACCTGCAGCACCAGCCCACTAGACCCCTATCACCCACAGGACACAGCCCAGCAACAGAAAAACATGCTTCCCTTTCAAGTGCCCATGGGGCGTTCGACAGAAAAAAAAAAGATCATTATTTTGGGTCATTAAACTTTAGCAAATTTTTAACAGTTAAAATCATATATGAGTTCTTAAACTGTGTCTAACCTACTTGCTGAATGTCACTTTGGTCACCTTCGGTCACCTTCAAGGTGTTCCCCTTGGAAAGCTGTGCACTGACACTAGTATGTAGTCTACCCTTCAAAGCAAATTTGGACCTCTTTTTTCCAGAATGGTGTCAGTGCTGTGGTCTATGAGTTCCAACAATTAGGTTCTCAAACTCATCCTAGGAAAAAAAAAATACAACATAACTCATCACTGAGTATCACTGTGGTCCTCAGATGACCATGGGGAGTATTTCCAAAGTGACTGAAGAGTTACTTAGTGATGAGGTACATTGTGCTTCTAGGATGAGTTAGAGAAACTTAATTGTCCAACATCGTATGTTCTTAGGCCATGATGGGATAAAACTGCAAATCAGCATCAGAAAAGTATCTGGAAAACTCTAAATACTTCAAAATTAAATAGCTTATGAGTAAAAGAGGAAATCTCAAAAAATTTAAAATTATTTTCAGTCTGGGAATGGTGGTCTGCACCTGGCATCCTAGCTAGTCAGGAGGATCACTGGAGCCTGGGAGCTTAAGGCTGCAGTCAGTTATGACTGCACTCCTGCACCCCTGCACCTCAGCCTGAGCAAAAGGGTGATACCATCTCAAAAAAAGATTTTTGAACTGAATGAAAATTATAGCATGCTATTTATGAAGAATAAAAACATTGCCTTGAGGGAATTCGGTAGTGCTAAGTACTTAATTTTGGAAAGAGAAAAGCCATGTGGTGTGCCTTCCCAGGTACATTGAGTACATCTGCGACATGGTGGCAGAGGAGCCCGTCACGCCCCACAGCAAGCCCGTGCTGCTGAAGGCTGTCTCCATGACCCCTGTGCCCCTGTTCAGCAAGCAGAGGACCGGCTGCAGACCCTTCTGTGAAGTCTATGCAGGTGGTGAGCGCGTGGCCAGCACATCCCAGGAATACGACAAGATGAGGTGAGTCTGCAGTGGGGCCTTATTTAGGAGAGTCCACCCCTCGTCTTCAACTCTTCCAGAAAACTCATTGAGAAGAGCTTTGTGGGGGTGGGGACAAGTGGGTGCAGAGGCAGGTGCATTTGGAGATGCAGTGTCCGTGGCAGATGATTTAGTGTCATCCAGAGAAGAACGTCTATGTTTAAGCCTTCAATATGTGAGACGATCTCAGGATTCTTGCTGAAGCTCATGGCTCTTTGTTTTTTTTTGTTTTTTGAGACAGAGCCTCAAGCTGTTGCCATTGGTAGGGTGCCGTGGCATCACAGCTCATAGCAACCTCCAACTCCTGGGCTCAAGCGAGTCTCCTGCCTCAGCCTCCCAAGTAGCTAGGACCACAGGCGCCC